TTTGTTGTGTAACCAAAATACCAATAATAATAAAAAGATTTTCATGCATAATGTGGGCCTTTTAATAATAAACTGAAATACAGACTCTTAAAATGAAATGTCTATGCTTTACGACTTTCAGATGCTCATTCAAAAAGATGAAGGAAATAGAATATAATTACAGCCATCTACAACATATTACACTATAAACACCATAAAGTAAACATTGTTATAATTCTTCAACAGTACATTATAAGCAATTGCTTGGCATAAGTATGTGGCGGTGATGGAAAGAGTACTGAAAATGTCCACTTGTAATACTCAATTACAAGAAAAAGTACAGGTGTTAAAAAAGTAATTAAGTAGAAGTTCAAAGTACTCTTCTCAAAAACTACTCAGAGTACTAGTTACTTTTTAACCATTGACATTGAATGAATTGTCAAAAACCACAATCAAATCAGAGATCCATGGAGAAAATAAAATATAGCAATACAAACATAACTTTGCTTTCCATTTAGTACTTAAACACACTTCGAGCAAGTGAAAAATATCTACATATATACATCTATCTAAATATATACAGCCTTTGATTGGTTACTTTGATTTTGTTTCTCGATATTTTTTCTTAATCACCACATTTAAGAAACGCTATAGAGTCCATAAAACTCATCAAATCTACACAAAGCACATCAAGTGTATTGGTTAAAACATGCCGGGACATTTGATTGCACATTACATTTTGACATTATCAATACTGCTTGCAATCATAATGCAATAGGCAGAAAGTACATTAATACTTTAAATGAAAGGGTTATTGAGCTGTTGTTTATATCAGAGCCATCATCCCATTCAAACCGTGGGGGCACTTGCCCCCTCAAAATCTTTGGATAAAAAAAAAAATCCCCAATCTACACAAAGCACATCAAGTGTATTGGTTAAAACATGCCGGGACATTTGATTGCACATTACATTTTGACATTATCAATACTGCTTGCAATCATAATGCAATAGGCAGAAAGTACATTAATACTTTAAATGAAAGGGTTATTGAGCTGTTGTTTATATCAGAGCCATCATCCCATTCAAACCGTGGGGGCACTTGCCCCCTCAAAATTTTTGGATAAAAAAAAAAATCCCCCAAAAATTGGAATTTGACCGCAGCTTCCAAAAGTAAAAAAAATAGCCAAATAATATTTTTTATATTCGATTCAGTGCGGCACATCACCAACTTCCAAATTCAAATCTGCGTTCATGCTTTGGCTGGCGCTGAGCCAAAAACAGATGTTTTTACAGTGCTGTGCATTATAACCAATCACACACGATACATCTCTGATTGGTCATTGCATTCAAGAAATCAACAGACATGTCTGTGATTGTCTACATTGCTCAATACGCTGAAAATAGAAAGCAGAAACCTTTGACACTCTCCAGAGCGCGAACACAAATACGCACTGGATCGTTTGCCAAATCTGTTTTGCCAATATGTTGTTATTATAATTACAGCTTCAACTGAGGGTGTTCTTGCTTTCGTATATCTAGTAAAACTACTGTAGCTAATTACTTTTTCAAAGGGTTAGCTTGATAGTACTTTAACTACTTAACTGTGAGTAGCTTGTAGCTTAGCAAGCTACTAAGCTTTCAGGAGTCAACGTGGTAAGTGTGTTTACGGATGTGTGCAATCTACCTGTGCCTGGATCTAGATCGCTTTCTTCGTGAGTGTGATGGGGAGCGAGAGTGAGATCTGGACCTTCTGGAACGTCTAGATCTACTGGATGAACCAATTTTATCATCTGGAAGAAACAATCAAGACTCTCATCAATTAAAAAGAAAAACATTTTGAGAAAGCCTCACTCTGTGTGTGTGTCCAGGCTAGAGAGGACAGACCTGGCTCGATAGAAGCAGCGATGGTTGACTGAGCCTCTCTGACTTTCTTCATCACATCCTCCAGCTCTTTGGCCGCAGCTTGAGGTGTGAGCTCTGGAGGCTTCACTATGGCATTATTGGAGTGGTTAATCCTAAAAAAAGTTGATTAATTACTAGTAAATATATATACTGCTTGCACACAGATAATACAGGACACACTGAAAATCTTGTATTAAAGAAAACTGGTAGGTTGTTGAGCATATTTAAACAGTTCAGAAGAATTCTTTTCTCAAAAAAGAACACTCACTTTAGTGGTCTTATAACCAATCACACACGATACATCTCTGATTGGTCATTGCATTCAAGAAATCAACAGACATGTCTGTGATTGTCTACATTGCTCAATACGCTGAAAATAGAAAGCAGAAACCTTTGACACTCTCCAGAGCGCGAACACAAATACGCACTGGATCGTTTGCCAAATCTGTTTTGCCAATATGTTGTTATTATAATTACAGCTTCAACTGAGGGTGTTCTTGCTTTCGTATATCTAGTAAAACTACTGTAGCTAATTACTTTTTCAAAGGGTTAGCTTGATAGTACTTTAACTACTTAACTGTGAGTAGCTTGTAGCTTAGCAAGCTACTAAGCTTTCAGGAGTCAACGTGGTAAGTGTGTTTACGGATGTGTGCAATCTACCTGTGCCTGGATCTAGATCGCTTTCTTCGTGAGTGTGATGGGGAGCGAGAGTGAGATCTGGACCTTCTGGAACGTCTAGATCTACTGGATGAACCAATTTTATCATCTGGAAGAAACAATCAAGACTCTCATCAATTAAAAAGAAAAACATTTTGAGAAAGCCTCACTCTGTGTGTGTGTCCAGGCTAGAGAGGACAGACCTGGCTCGATAGAAGCAGCGATGGTTGACTGAGCCTCTCTGACTTTCTTCATCACATCCTCCAGCTCTTTGGCCGCAGCTTGAGGTGTGAGCTCTGGAGGCTTCACTATGGCATTATTGGAGTGGTTAATCCTAAAAAAAGTTGATTAATTTCTAGTAAAATATATACTGCCTGCACACAGATAATACAGGACACACTGAAAATCTTGTATTAAAGAAAACTGGTAGGTTGTAGAGCATATTTAAACAGTTCAGAAGAGTTCTTTTCTCAAAAAAGAACACTCACTTTAGTGGTCTGTCGCCAAACATAACTCCATTAAATGTAAGCGCTCGTGACACTGATTCCTGATCAGCAAACTCCACAAAAGCAAAACGTGTAGGTTGGGTTTCATCTCCTGCCATTCTAACAAACTTAACATCTCCCACTTGCTTGAAGAACTTGAGGAGCTGATCTGCTGTGGTGCTCTACAGGAGATTGGCAGAACAAGAGCAACATGCTTGAAAGACAAAAGTGAATCATGTCATTTTAGATGCCCACTTTAATTACATCCATCCACCACATTTCTCATGTAGTGGCAATTATGCTGGGGTGACTTGTTTTGGTCTGACTTTTTTTCTTAAATTATGTCACACCAGTTCGTTCTTCAAGTATATCGGGGTCTTAAGAACAGTGGATTCCCATTCTTCTCCCTTTTCCATTGCATATCAGTGAAAATAAAATAATTAATAATAAAAAATCATGAAGTAAATATTCAAAAATCAGAAACAGTGCCTAATATACGTGAAATTGGATGTGGTGTTCTTATTGCATACTGTTTTATAATGTACTCCAAATACACTATCTGCCACTATACAAGTATAAATAGTATCTAACACTATTTGCACTTGCAGATAGCCTCTGAATGAATTCAATTCATTTTCACATACCTGTGAATTTAAATTGCCGACATACACCGTCCTCCTGATCTCATCAATTTTAGAGGGATCTACATTTCCCATGAGCGGAGGCTGTGAAGCAATTGCATTTAGAGCCGCCACAGATGTGTCCAAACTAGACTTCAGGACCCCCAGATTAGCTAAAGGAAGACCTCGCTGTCCGCAAATAAATGTAACACAGTGACAACTGACAATTTGAAATAAAATACAGTAAATCTGTGACATGCAGTTGATGTAGGTGATATTTTTTCATCATTCATTAAAGGCTGGAATACATCACACAACTTTTAAATATGAAAATAATTTAAAACACTAGGCATGATACACTTGCTGACTTTGTAAATGAAAAACTGGGTCTTCATACACTTCCAGACTTTCAAGTCATTGCTAACACAACAAATTCATGAAGAAACACATGCCTCATTACTAGCAGACACGGAAGTAATACAAATGATAGGTGTTCTAAAATCATCCCAAAAATATCAATATTTAACATCCTGCGACTGGATAGAATCATTGTCTCAAGCTAAAAAAAAAAACAAAAAAAAAACATTTGTTGCCCATCACACCCATGACTTTCTGTGAAAAGTGTCAACTTTGACCGCCCACAATCTGCAAACTTGCTGTCTTTCAACAACTATCACTGGCTCTTCCAAACTGCAAATCTGGGGGAAAAAACAGTGTAGTGTATTCCAGCCTTAATTTGCGAGATTGTGTTTTTACATTCTGTAGTGTAGTGGGGCTAGGAATGGGCAGAAGTCCTCCTCCGCTCATCAGGCTGGTCACTGGGGCGGCGGGGGCCAAAAGTGAGAGCGCCTTTGCCTCTTCAGGGATTTTTCCTGAAGAACAAGAGCACTGGCATTAGAGAGGCCAATGGAGACATCTCCAGCTGCTTTACCTACGACCCAAGATTCAGAGGAGGGTTATCTAACAGCCTAGCGCTCTAACACCCACCCTGAGCATCTCCAACCCCGACCATGAACAATCAAACAATCTGAACTAGCATAGCTACTCTCTTTTTACTATCAACACAAGACATACTGTAAACAGGATGACTTTTGCACAAAAACAGAGAAAATAACAATTTGATTAGTCCTTTTCTCTCTTTAAAAAAAAAAAAAAGATCAGAACAGAACATGAAGAGAATGAGTTTAACACTTTGTGGTATGGGTCACCTGTACTGGAAACATATTGGTCATGAACCATACGATATCAAGCATGGGTGCTTTTCTCCCTGGGGCGATCGTGTCGCAGTGTTGGAAAGGGTGTGCAACACAAGACAACCGTTCATGTTGGCTGCATCACACTAATAGCACATAGAACATCAGATACAGAAAAGAAGTTGCCTTCACAATAAAGTTAAAAACAAATAATTTTCCAAATACTTTTCAGCCAATGTTGGTAAAACATATAAACGCATGCTTTGTGCTTACAGTGGCTATAGTACTCATGGGCAAACTGACTGTTGGTATATCTGTGCTTTTGTGTTAAAAACTAAATTAAAACCTCAAATGTGACTTTCAGCCACTTCAGTACTACTCTAAAGTCAATGTTCCCCAAAACCATGCAATGGAGTTATACATGTGCAATGGTGTGAGCTTTTATAAGAACTGTTTCATTTCTTGCCATTACAGTTAATTGAACAATGGTGCCTTGCAAAAATAAACAATTCTAATCACTCTTCACTAGCAATTCTGTCATTTTACTGAATTACAGATCCTACACAGGCACTGTTAGAAAATATTAGGGCTTCACGACATTAGGGGAAAAAAACTGACACTGCAATATTGAGTTTTTCAGTGATATATATAGAGTATATATACATATATATATATACACACACACACAGTATCTCACAGAAGTGAGTACACCCTTCACATTTTTGTAAATATTTTATTATATCTTTTCATGTGACAACACTGAAGAAATGACACTTTGCTACAATGTAAAGTATATATATATATATATATATATATATATATATATATATATATATATATATATATAAAATAAAAAAATCACCCCCACCCCACTTTTACACATATTTTAAAGCCTTTATTTTTTTAACTCAATAGTTGTGCAGTAAAATTCACTTTAAAGATTCACTTTTAATTTATGAAGATATCATGAAAAAAATTTGCCAAAAATCCTGGTGGAAAACAAAAACTTTTAAGATGAAAATGACATATAGCCAGACATATTGACATATAACCAATAGATGGCAGCGGAGGAACACTCATTAGCTCAGTTGCCATTTACACTCCCTAGTTTTCACATTTTGCTTTTGGGTTTATTATAAAATTACTATTATAACAAATTTTAGTAGCAAGTACATTTAAATAATAATGCATTAAATATTTTTTTATATTTTAATATTTAATTTAAAAACTATATTTGTAAAACATTGCCTTAAAAAGGACACATCAAAAAGAGTGCTTTAAGTTTTATCTTTAACTGTAGAAGCTGCAGTTAGAAATATATTCAGCCAACACAAACTTATTTGCTGCTGTAGTTTTGTTACTCTGTCAGATAGTTTGTTCTGTACATATGCTGTTTTCACTGTCAAACATAGCAATAGGGCCTTTCGCACCGCTTTAGTTCCAGAACTAAATCTACAGTACTAAAGTACTGGGACGATTTTGTGCGAACTATTTCCCAGTACCATTTAAAGGGTTGCATTCGCACCGACAGTGTGTACTAAGAAGTGATGTAAGCCGGACAACAGCGACGTCATTTGTGTGCGGCGTTCAACAATGAAAACAAAGAAAAACAACATTAACAACAGGAGGATGGAGGACGCTGTGATCGGAGCTGTGTTTTTGTTGTGTCTCGCGGGTTTCACAATAATGAACATGGAAAGTCGACGTATACGTAAAGCGATTGAAAGAACGGAAAGGAGGACTAAGAATCTCCAATGACAGCTGGCAGCGCTACACTTGCTACAAGTGCCTGCACTTCAGTGTCCGTCCATCTATCTCTGTTCTCCATACTTGCGAAATAAGTTGACACAATGTTTTCAGTATGTTTACACAGCGTTTTAAATCATGGCGGGTGAGGGCGTTTTCGTACGCGTTTGGTCAATCAATGTCTACTTGCGTCATGATTAGTACCAGTTGTGCTGGTTAGACCCTGCTCCGGAGAAGGAGCTAATTTGGTTCTCGAAGAAAAAGGCAGTCTAAAATCGCTCCCAGTTCCGGCCGTGCGAACACGCCAAAAAGTGGGTAGTTCCACAATTAGTTCTGGTACTATGAAAAGGGTCCTGCAGTGCGAAAGGCCCTAATGACAAACACAACTTTTCTTTGAATTGTGAGTAGATTATGTAGAGCAGTGGTTTTCAACCCTTTAGGACATGCCCCCTTTCTCTTTTGCTGTTTGATTAACATTAATAATATAAGAAATGCACGAATCCGTTATACTGTACTTATGAGAATACTCGCCAAGAGCCATTGAGACATAATTTTGTTTGTATTTACTCAAGACGTGAAAGAGAACTCATTTACCGGGGTAGGGTTGCACCCTAAGTTCTTACTTAAATTAGAACGTTAAGTCCACACTAGAGGCTTAGTAACTAATAGCTAATGTAACTAAATCTATACATTATTCAGTTGCACCAGTTGTTCATAAGGCAAGACGTACCTAGTAATTCCCTTTCGAGATGTCTCTCGATGTTACGTACAGCTTGCTAACGCATTGGGGAAACACCTTTCTCTTTAGAATACTGAAGCCTGACTCTTTAATGGCCAGTGGCGCATTGAAATTAGGGGGCGTGGCACCCCTTATAATGCAGCGCTTGGCGCCATTTTCCTGAGAATCTTTCTCTTTTACCTGAATTATTTGGAAGCCTCTCCTTTGTCATCAATTCATCGCAAATGTGACTAAATCTCAATCCTCTGCACAGGGCTCTACAGTGCGACCATTTCAGTCGCATTTGCGACTGAAAACTACTGCGTGCGACTATAAACATTTTTTTAGGAGCACCAGTGCGACTGACCCGATCATCATCAT